TTGAGCAAGGTGCAATTAAGGTTAATTGTGATTCTCAGTCTGCAATATTTTTAGCAAAGAACGGTGGATATCATGAGAGGACTAAACATATTCACAGGAAGTTCAATTTTATCAGGGATGTTATTGCAAATGGCAGTGTTTCAGTTCAGAAGATTCACACTAGCCTAAACCTAGCCGATATCCTAACGAAGTGCGTACCTGGAAAGACATTGGAGAAGGCTCTGGTGTCCGTCAAGGTCTGCAGATAAGTTCCTTGAGTGGTCGCTGCCGAGGGTGTTGCCGATTCGTTACCTCGCAGCAAAGATCAGAAAAAAATACAGTGGGTTAGTCAAAGAGGTTTTGGATTAAGCTACCGTTATGAGTCGGTGTTTAAAAACTTGAGAGGTTGAAGTTTTGGTTGGTTACCTTTGTGTTGAGAAGCGGTATTCTTCTTAGTCCTGCAAAGAAGAAGAAGGTAACAGGTAAGTGGTTTTATGGGACATGCAGAGGTGAGTAAAGTCGATTTGAAGGAAAGGTTTACCTGAGTTCGGTTCGAGTGGTAAGTCGTCTCCGTCAAAGAGCTGAGATTGTTCCTGCGTTTACTCAAAGATGAAATAAATTGACTGGTTAGGTTCCTGAGATACGGAAAGGTCAGATTTATTGAGGAAGTCGAAAGGTTTCGACATGCATGTTCAGATCTGAGTCGGTTACCTGAGGTGTTGTTCGGCGGTTGATCAGATCGAGGGTTCGTCGGCGTCTGGAAGGTCAGATGAGGTGTGAGCAGGTTCTGGTTTGAGTCGGGTTCAGAGGGTTCATCGGTTCAGCTGATCTGTGGTTATCGTCGGTCGGAGGTTTGAGAAGAGGAGGTTATCTTCAAGGTGGAGAAGTTTCAGAGACTTTCGTCGGTCGAGGTGACCGGAAAGTTAGAGAGAAGGCAGAGCTTTTAGAGAGAGAAGGGAGAAGACATTTCGGCAGAGCTTCGCTAGGGTTTTTCGAGTTCTGTCGGAGAAATCGAGTGTGTGTCGGCATTTATACAAGGTGGAGAATTGTGGGCTTTAGTGTATAAAGGCCGATCCAACGTTATTGGGCCTTCGCTGTTTCTGGCCCATCTACCCGTCTTTAGTAACACGACGCCGTTCGTTCTGTTACGGATATAAGTAGTCTTCGTCTCCTTCATCTCGGAGGAGAGTGGTGTCTGTTAGAGTTGGGAACAGAGGTTGAGATCATCTTCTCCGGTGGATTCTCCGGCGAGTGCTGAAGCGGCAGAGGTGCTCTCCGGTGACTCGGTGTTCAAGTGTGATTCACTGCGAGATCCGATCGTTTCCTGAAACAACAAGAATCGAAGTTAGTGTTTGATAGATTCTTGTATAAGCTTGTGTTGTACTCTGCAATATATGCTTAGTGGATTGGGAGCAAGAGTCTCCCCCCAGATGTAGCGTAAGCGAACTGGGTAACCAAACTCTCATTGCATTTTCTTTCGATTGCTTAGTAAACAAGAAACAAATCGAATCCGTAGAAAGTATTATCGAGCTCAAAACCTAACAGATAGTATCACGAAACCTATATAAATTTAATGACAGTCTACTTACAGATTGATAAGCAATTATTTAGTTGGTTCTTCTGATCTTGATGTAATTATAAACGCTGGATTGATTTCTTTCATTTTCTTCTCACGTATGTAAAAAACAATATGTGCAAGTTTATAAATTATAATACTGCTTAAAATGGTAATCCATATGACATTCACGTGCTCTCTTCTAGATTGTATTCAACTTGTTGACCATTAGTGATCGAGTAACTTAAAAGTGTGGTTACGGTTGTGTGTTGACTCTATCATGTCACGTAAAATATCAACAGTGAACTAAATGCATACCAACTTTATTTCCTTATATGGTTCTTCATTAAATGAGCCTTCTCGTTTCTATTTTAGGTAATACTATATGCTTTTGTAGCCATCCCATTTCTAGTCATGACTCGTCAATTTTGATACACTATTGTCAAAAGTATATCTGTATATGTATGGGTGGTTGTGAGAATTCTGATTCGAATATCTACATTGCCAACAATATTAAGGATGGTAGATGCAGAACAGTTGGATAAGTATGAAATTGTAGGTGGTGTGGATCATTCGTGATTGCTCTTACTATAGTATCATGGACTGACTCAACTAACACAAAATATTTGTCGATCCACTGCATGTGAATTATTTAGCAATTTCTGTAAAAAAAATGGATAGTTTATATTAGTATAGTACGTCGCAAACCCCACATAGATTCCTCTGCGGTAACAGATTAAATAAGTTGGTAAGAGTGTCAGTTGATTAAAATTTAATATGTTATCCTAGTGTTGATTCATGCGAAACAGAAGTGTCAATTTTTATTTAAAGAAATTGTGGAAAGAATACAAATTATCTCAGCCAGCCACAGAAGTGGTGATATCTCATGTACTAAGGTGGAGATACATCCAAAGAGAGAACATATTCGTGAAACAGCAGTCCCCTCTAACACTTAGGAAAGATGATACTATGTAGTAGTAGCGATATAATTTGCTTATTTACAAGATACTTAGTAAAGCCATCTTGTACAAGACAGACGAAGACAAGGGCCTGTATCTTTACTAATGTATCCACACGACAGCAAGTGTATATACATTGTCTCTTTTTTATCGTAGTTTGTAGTTATGTTCTAGACTTCATATTAAAAGACTTGAAACTAACCCGAAAAATCAGTTGTGATGTGAAAGTTAACAAATGCTATTTTCTTTTTCTTTTTTCTTTTTTCTTTTCCCCTTTTGTCTAAGTTTTCGTTTTCCCTGTCAACTGTCAGGATAATTATTCTTAGTATGAAAGAAAAAGTTGTATTAGCTAGCCTCATTTAGTCGTACTGGTGTTATCTTTGAGCATAAGTTTTTTGCGCCTACGACTCCAAGCGTGTTCAATGAACTTATTAACCTTACGATCAAACGTTATATTAGATATTGTGTAGTTAAGCCAAAAAATTATAACTACTAACTATAATACTATTAAAATTTGGTTTAAGTACTTTGTTACTTAATTGAAACCAAGAGGTTTGTGTTTGTGTTTTTATCAAAAGATTGATGTGGAAGTTTGATTTTGAAAGTTCATAATAATCAAGAAGTGTCAAAATCTCATATAACATTAACGAAAATATCATACTCCATATCTGACTCACATAAAATACAACTTTTAGTTACCAATTTTTGTTCACGCATTATATCCTTTTATCTTTGGCAAGTTAAACATTTCAGTTGCCCACTTTTTCATACAGCATGCACTTTATTGAAGGAGGTCGCTAGAAAGAAACTTTCTTATTGAACTTCCATTGAAAAAACAAAGATATGACAAACATTCGTGATAGCAATGTTACATATGCAAGCTTCGTTCTTAAAGTCAAGAGCAATACTTTCCCACATAAAAGAACCATCCATTTCCGGATAAAAAATCAATCACCATTTTGCATACATCCTTGGGTGGGAGAGAAGAAAAATAAGACGGAGATGAAGAAGAGTTTGGTTCATGAGTAGCAATTATTGTTGTTATGACCAGGGCTGTCTAATAACATGTGTAAGTGGAGCAGTCGAATAGGATCCTAACTATGAAAACAACAAAATAAAGAAAAAATAAGAACTTTTAAGAAATACATAGATAAATTATGATATTTTTTTTTAAAAAAATATATATTGATAAATTAGAATTTTTAATTTTTAAAAACACATCAAACATAGTTATTAATTTTTTTTAAAATTCATTAAATCATAAATATATCATTATTTTTTTTTTGAACAGAATCTAGAATTTATTTGAGACGGCCCTGACCATGATTATAAACACAAAATCACAAACAAAATACAATAAATGTCATGAAAAGATTTTTTTGTTGATTGTACGAGAGATGGCTGCGTAGGTTTTATATAAGAATCTCGGTCTTACACAATTGCAAGCCCAATTTTTATGTTACATACACTCAAAGTAAATCATGGAAGCATGTCTACAAAACCTTAGCTAGTGAACGTGCAAGAATGTGCATTTAGTTCCTTTTTACGTGCCACTATCCGTTTTATCTAATCAAAACACACACAATAATAGACTTACCTTTTGAAAAGTCGCTGATAGTCTAGTGGTTTCAACTCATTTTTTCACATATGACTATTCGAGATCATATATTCGATACTTGGGGATAGCAGAGTGGTAATGTGTCTTTCAAAAATCATGTGTTCGCAGATGGCTTAGGCCTAAGACCTAGAAGTTTCTCAGGTACGTCTTGAAGATTTCTGTACGGATACCCTTCGGGGTGGGGTCAATCACTATAAAAGTTAAACCCTTCATAATTTAACCAATGTTGAGTTGGTCCAATAATAAAGAGGTTACGGTTGTAATTTCTACTACTTGGATTCATTCACGTTGGAAAAAACTATTTACAAAATTTAGATTTCCGACAAAGAGGGGAAACCACTTTTTTAACCACGTGTCAGTGGTCGTGTGGTCAAAGCGTTCTGTGGATCTTTAAAGGGATCTGAATTCAAATTCACACCATATCAGATTTTCACAATACGTGGCCATCAGAACTTTATATTTTTTCTCCAGAGAATAGTTTACCATTTTTTTTTTAATATAGAAAACTGAAGACAAACTCATTTTAAGTTTCTGTCAATTAGAATCAACGGTTATTAAAAAAAAAAAAGTTTTCTGTCAATTAGAATCGAGGGTTATATTGTAATTTTAAGTAAGGGAATGGTATGTTTGTAAAAGACTGATAGTTAAAGGTCTCTTTTGCAATATTTCTTATGTTATTACATGTGTTAATGTGGTAAGAAAGAAAATGTCAATGGCGTTTCAACGACGACAACAGCACTGCTGCGGAGACCATTCTAACGACTGAAGCATCTTCTTCAAACATGTTTAAAGTATAAAACAAACCCACGTTTAGACCTCGAACTTTCCTAAAGTGTCGTCCTTTACTTAACCCACATCAGAAGTTTCCTCCTTTCTTCGTTTCCTGATCATGGAGGAAGAAGATAGCAAGATTCCTAGGATCTTAGAACAAGATGGGCATGGTGGAAGTGATCTCAAAGAAGTTAGTGAGTCGAAAAAGAAGAAGAAGAAGTATTGGATGGGTTGTCTGAGAGCTGAATCTGACGAAAGAGGAAACATTGATTTGACTGTTGATTTCCCTGGGGAACGCTCTGAGCCTACTCACCTTCTCGTCATGGTCAACGGTCTCATCGGCAGGTTATTTAGAGTTCCTTTTGTTGTGTGTGTTTGATTTTATTCGATTTCAAGCTGTTCTTGAGAATGTTTTATGGCTACTACAGTGCTCAGAACTGGAGATTCGCTGCTAAGCAGATGCTGAAGAAGTATCCTCAAGATCTCCTTGTTCACTGTGAGTTAAAAAATATTGATAAAAATGATCACACTTCTAGTTTTTATAGTTTCAGATCTTTTTGATCTCAACTTAAGTGAAGATCCAGCTCTAGATCTCTTGTCAGCTATTAATGTAACATTTGCAACCGTTACAGGTAGTAAACGCAACCATTCTACACAGACATTTGATGGTGTTGATGTTATGGGAGGAAGATTAGCAGAAGAGGTAGAACTTGCTTTCTTTTGTTGTCTCTGGTTGAGTTATTTTGCAGCTGAACTTAGATTTGTGTTTTAGGTTAGGTCGGTGATCAAACGTCACCCAAGTCTTCAGAAGATTTCCTTTGTAGGACATTCTTTAGGTGGCTTGATTGCTAGGTATGCTGTTGCTTGTCTTTATGAGCAAGAGTCCCGACAAGAGCTTCCACAAAACAGTGACGACATTTCTGATACATGCCTGAAAGAGAGAATCGGTGGATTGGAGCCTGTGTTTTTTATAACTTCTGCAACCCCACACCTTGGTTCAAGAGGACATAAGCAGGTGACTTAAGAAAAGTTTCTTTAATGTACTTATGCATCAGTATCTTCCATGAGCTAGACTTTGATGTTGAGTTTTGCTATCAATATGGTGTGCCATTAGGTCCCATTGTTTTCTGGATCTTACACTTTGGAGAGGTTAGCTACGCGTATGTCATGGTGTCTTGGTAAAANCCACACCTTGGTTCAAGAGGACATAAGCAGGTGACTTAAGAAAAGTTTCTTTAATGTACTTATGCATCAGTATCTTCCATGAGCTAGACTTTGATGTTGAGTTTTGCTATCAATATGGTGTGCCATTAGGTCCCATTGTTTTCTGGATCTTACACTTTGGAGAGGTTAGCTACGCGTATGTCATGGTGTCTTGGTAAAACGGGGAAACATCTTTTTCTAGCTGATGGTGATGATGGAAAGCCTCCCTTACTCCTCCGTATGGTTAGTGACCGTAGAAACCTTAAATTCATGTGAGTGTTCATTCACCGACTTTGTTCTCTTCTTTACACATAATAGCTCATTGTGCTTGAAACCATTCTCCTATGATATTATTCATCACATCTCGTCTGCATTTGTGAACAGTTCTGCTTTGAGATGCTTCAAGCGGCGTATTGCTTATGCAAATACAAGTTTTGACCGTATCCTTTTCTTTCTAAGGCCTCTGTAAACTATTTTCACTACTTGTCTATTGCAGTTTATTTGAAACCTTAACCTCCCTTTGTTCATAGACCTAGTAGGCTGGAGCACATCGTCTATCAGGCGACGCAGCGAGCTTCCTAAGGTAATAACTAACCTTTCAAGGTTTAGTATCATACTTGATGTTGTGTGTCATGCTGAATCATTCGTCTGATATTCTCAGCTTCAACGCGGTCCAGTCAACGAGAAGTATCCTCACATTGTGAACGTTGAAGCACCAAGTACCTCTAGTAACCATGAGGAAGTTAGATCAGTGACCAATTCAAACGGGTCCAAGAATTTTGATATGGAAGGTTGGTTCATTGGAAACTTAGACCATCCTCAGGTTTCTTATCCTGATTTTTAATCATCGTAATGCTAAAATCATTTGCAGAGGAAATGATAAGAGAGCTAACAAAAATGAGCTGGGAACGAATTGACGTCAGTTTCAGAGGAACTGTGCAGAGATTTCTAGCTCACAATACCATTCAGGCAAGTGTTCACTAAAGTCATCGTCACCATTATTATCATGGATCATTGCAAGTCATATACTCAAATCTGGAGAAAAAAACATTACAGGTGAAGACGAAGATGATCAATTCAGCTGGAGCAGATGTTATACAACACATGATTGACAATTTTGAGCCATAGTATATCTGAAGATCGCAGATCCCTCACAAGCTAAATTCACTAGGGGAAAATATATACCTATCTTTAAAACAATAGGAGTAATAAATTTTGTATTTCCTTTCTGTGACCAATGAATTTACAATGTAATTGAAACTATAAAAGACTCTGGAAAGGAACAACACAACCTATGAACTGGTTTTTGTTATAAAACAACTCCATGAATCTTTATAGGCAAACATAGTTTATCTTGACCACAAGTCTTTCTTAATACTCCTTCAAAGATTATAAATGAAATATGGATCAACAGCTTTAGGAATCGAGCAAAAGGCTGGGGATGATTCAAACAGCTTTAAAAAGTTTCAAAGAAGAAAAGATTCAGTTACATGATCAAGAAAGTTTGGAGTGGGGTTGTTCAAGGGAATTCCACTCCCAGAGCATCCACACAATCGAGGTGCCTGTTTAATACAACAAAAGATCATTCACACAATGAATACAACCTACATTAACAGGTTGAATACACGAGGTGAGTGATGTTACAAGCCATACCTGCAAAGAAGGCCACGGTAGAGAGATTTGCGATGGTCATTGTATGGTAGAAGAGGTATTCAGTCAGAAAATGGCCCAAGGCGTAGATAAATGAGAGAAAGGTAGCCAAGTATAGTGGTTTGTTGTCAGGGTTGGATGCACAAAGAAAGCAGAGAGTGCAAGTCAATAGTGTCCATACTCCGAATGTACGTCCATGAACTTCACTCACTGCAAAACAAGTAAAACAGAAGAAAGAACATCTTGAGTAATTACTAGTAAGGATGGGACTATTATTCAGATAAACACTTTTTGTTTCCTATTCACAAACTGTTCATATGATGCAAAGTTGCTACTACTTTTGTTATCAGAATTAACAAACTAAAAATAAATGTTCCGTAACATTCCCTTAGCCGAAATCTTGCACCACACATTGCAAAAGAAAAACATCAAGTTGCTTTTGTTCTAATACATCTACAGCATCAGATACACTTCACCTGGTCATTGATCTACTTCAACAGTATTTTAAGAAAATTTGCATATTGATGCAACCAAATGGGTTATGCATTGGACTCTGCAAACTGTAATCAGCCAAATCTAGATCCAGATACTTTCTCCATTCCTGATTTCTAGGGCATGGTGGTCCACTTCCTACCAAAGTTTCTTCACCAAGGACTAGTACAAGAGTTATTAACATTCCATATCTTTCTTGGATATGTTGCTTCGGTTTGCTATTCTCATAGAACTAATCATCTACACATTCTGCCTAAGAAATTCAAGCAATAAGCATGTGTCTTATAAAACTGAAAGCTTTCTTTTCATAAAGGTCTATAGTCGCAGAGATTCAATGAATAAGTTTGTTCCCTACGAAATTACTGCCTAGATTAAACTTAGGAAAATCATGAAAAATAGCTACAAAACTTCTTTGATTTATTAAGAATCATGTGACTTATTACTAATAGCGAATCAAAAAATCTGTAAAACAATAATCTCAACTTGCAAGAAGGACCAATCTTGGAGAGATAAACAAAGAAGCCATGTGTTGCTTTCAATTCCAACTAGCTCAGCTTTGCAATTAAAGGAACATGAACAACCAAAAAAAATGTAAGCAACTAGAAAATGCATGCATGAATATGTTCAAAGAATCAATCTTTCTTACACTTGCAAGCTTAATTCATAAAAAAAAAAACCATTGACGTTACAGATTCAATGTACATACTAGCAAAATCAAAATCAAATCCAGAAAAAAAAACCATATTTATAAATCTCATAGTGCTTAGGGATCCCAAATTGGATCCGTAACTCAATGAAGTCACAGAAAACGAAGAACATAGTTCCTCTGAACGTGGCATTATCATTTACACAAAACACATTACATGATGACACTTAACAATGTTTGACTAGAATCTGGGAGATTAAGGAAGTCAACTGATAGAACAAATCTCTCAATCATCCATAGAATTAATTCTATGACATTAACAACGAAAGTAACAAAATTTAAGCACCAATTAATAGAATAATTAGAAAATGGAGATTTAAAAAGGAGAGGAGGAGGAGGAGAAGAACCGAACTGGTGGTCTGAGAGAAGACAGCGAGACGAAGAGCCCAAATGTTGAAGAAACCAAACCAAACCGAAGCTAATCTCAGTGAACCAACCACCATTAGCCAATACCCTAACGCCTTCATCTTCCTCTTCTCTCTTCCTTCCTTTGCTTACTCTCTGCTTTGATCTTCAGATGCGCTCTTTCTTATTTATTTTTATTCCTTTTGAAATGCTCTGACATGTCATCACTGATTTATTTATTTCTTATTTATTTCTCATATGCTGTCTTGCATATGCTATGAAACATAACACCATTGCAAGATAGTGTTATGATTTCACTCGTCGAATTTGAAGTATATTGTTCACGACATGAGAACTACATATCTCATGCAAGCCTCGTGGATAAACACACATAGTTACAACAGATACTACATACGGTGTTAGTTATGTTCAGTATATATAGACTTCACGTTGTTCATGTTACATTTGAAGATTAGTTAACAATTTAGCTGATGGTTTTAACTTTTAATTAACCTCTCTCGTAAGCTCGTTTATCCCATGAAGCAATTATATTGGTCTAAGCTCACTGAATGTCCAAATTAGAGATGTGTATCATAATGTAACTGTATTTTATATATACTGAATTCTTCTATTAAAATACTTGTATCTTCTGCATATTACCGTATAGTCTTTCTTTGAGAATACATATGAGAAAAAAACCTTCTCAACTTTACACCACAATGTCGTGTTATATTGGTTAACGTGTTTAAATTTCCAAGTAAACCGCCCTTTAGAAATCACATCAAATAGTCGGTAACCTTGTAATCTACTGCAAAAGTAAACTTGGTCATGCTATAAAAGCTCATAAGTTTTTTGGGGTTGTAGAATATAGATTTGTTTGGGGATTGGGCGAGAGATATGCGTGCACGTTCACGATAAATTAAATGCAATTAACTATTGGTTTATAGTATTAATTTAAAACTTTTAAGTAGCGTAGGTTAAGCTGAACGATAATCGTGGATGATAGCTGGATTATTTTTATTTTTTTGTTCATTTTCTTCTACTGATAAAGGTCTTCTTCTCACGTTTGTTTCTTTTGTATCACATGATTTAGACATGAATGAATAGAGTTTAACGAAGGATTACGAAATAAAGATGATTTGATCGTTCATTGTTGCGGGCCTTGCGGCCATAACAACAAAACAAACACATAATCACTAGCTATCAGGAAATATAATTTGTGATAAAGAAAACTATGACACACAACAACGTGACCTCCGCATAGAAGCGGAAAGATTCCTCCGATCAAGGCACAAAGAGCCACGAACTTACACGTAAGCCAGTAAGGGTAACCTCGTGAATTGGATGCCAACGTTTTGTGTGGTTGGTCACTTACTGATCAGGTTTAGAGAGAAAGTCAAGACACAGCAGAGAGCGGATAGCTTTCGTCAACATCTAATCCGAGCTGGCAGTTCTCGCCAACTTGTTTCCCAGCTGTGCTCCAACATACTTTTCTCTCTATACCCCTCAACTAACTCTATATTTCGGATTAAACCCTTTCATTTGTACACATTTTAAACTCAAAAGAAATGGTTAGCTACTTAAAAATAATCTTTTGCAAATACAGACGTCACTTTATAATAAAGTTAGCCAATCTACACCTTTTTTTTTTTTTTTGAGCAAAGCCAATCTACACTATAGTTCTGATTTTCGAGGATTTGGCCCATATGTCGGCTACTTGTCAAAACGTTTGATATTACATCGAAAATTTAGCCTCATACCCTTTTCAAAAATTCTAATAAAAAATGTCTCATTTTGCCTTGTATAATAGTCCGGAACGAAATGAAGCTGCATTTTCTATAGCTCTTAGCGTCACTCGAGACCAGCGTCATCAGTCGTATATCGCTCGGAATGCTCCTTTATGGCTACATCATCTGCTCGTCCTAGAGGCTCAGTAAGGAAGGAGGTGGGTAAATAGGTTGTTTCCTTCTCCTTTTTATCGATTTTTCCTTTTGATGGTGTCTTCTGACATCTCATTTATTGCTATTATCTTGTTTTTGTTATACCCCCCGTATTTTTGTTCGAACTCAGTGTTAAAAAAAAAAAAATAGTCAATGGTTATAACAAATGTACATTAATATAACTTTGTTATTAAACTGACAAAATATCTAAGGTAAAATCTATAAATTGACAAAATATCCAAGGTAAAATCTATAAATTGAGTGACGTTTAAGATTAAAATGACATTCCATAGTATGATTTTAGACATAAAAATAGATTATGAACTTCTAGATGATAACAAATAGATGTATAACAATGTTATATATATTTGTGAGATGGTAAACAATATAATTGTAATTGTACTATCTAACACGTTAATATATCACATTTGTAAATTTTGTTTGATGACAGATGCTAGGCTACTGATTTTTTTTTCTTCTTATAAGTAGAACCTCATAATATAACTTTCTACATCAGCATAATGGGTATTAAATAGCTCATTTAAAGTTTGGGTCTAATCTTCATATACGAATAAAATAAGGCGTTAATTGGACAATTCCAGAAAATATAAGGAAAGAAAGGAGGGAATGCAAGAATAGAAGAAAAAAAAATGTATGTTCTGCTTCCTTGTCCCACTTAAAAACCAGACACAGAGCCAAGAAGACGAATCCGTTCTCCAACACAGTTAGGTCGGGAAACTCCAACCACGCCCTTAAAACGCTGCGTTTTATCTGTCACCTCCCTTTTCTTTAACTTAATTCCCAAGTCATCGTTTCTACTTTATGCCCTAAAACCCTAAACTGACTCTCTTTTTACTGGTTCAAAGAGCAATGGATCCATGTCCTTTCATCCGTCTCACGATCGGAAACCTAGCTCTGAAACTTCCTTTAGCGGCGAAGACAACAAGCTCCGCCGTGCATCCCTCCTCATCTCCCTGTTTCTGCAAAATCAAACTCAAAAACTTCCCAACGCAAACCGCCTCCATCCCCTACATTCCGTTAGAGACCACACACTTCCCTGAGATCCAAACCTTAGCCGCCACGTTCCATCTCAGCAGCTCAGATATCAAACGCCTAGCGTCCACATCCATCTTCGCTTCCAAGCCATCTCTCAAGATCTTCATCTACACTGGAAGAGCCGGCGCTGCGTGCGGCGTAAACTCCGGCCGTCTCTTGGCGAAAGTCTCCGTGCCGCTGGATCTATCTGGTGCAGAATTGAAGCCGTGCGTGTTCCACAACGGCTGGTTATATGTCGGGAAAGGAGCCGGAGCTGGGAAAGTGGGGTCGGCTCAGTTTCATCTGAATGTGAAGGCGGAGCCTGATCCTAGGTTTGTGTTTCAGTTCGACGGTGAGCCTGAGTGTAGTCCTCAAGTGGTTCAGATTCAAGGGAGTATCCGACAACCAGTTTTCACTTGCAAATTCAGTTGTCGGAATACGACTGGTGATCGTACTATTAGATCAAGGTCAGTCTTCCGACCAAACTAAATTATTCTTACCGCATTTGTCGGAAACTTTGAGTTGTCACTTTTTGAAAATTACTAATTTTATTATTACATCTTTTTATTAATTTATTGAAACTTTACTCTTTTTTTTTCCTTTTGCTAAACTTTACTCTTTTAAAATGATTTTATGTTTTGTTTATTGATCAGATCGTTGCCGACGGAGACGAGTGTTCCACGGAGCTGGCTTAACTCGTTTGGGAGTGAGAGAGAACGTCCTGGTAAAGAGAGGAAAGGATGGTCTATAACGGTCCACGACTTGTCTGGTTCACCAGTAGCTATGGCTTCAATAGTTACACCGTTCGTTGCATCTCCTGGAACAGATCGTGTTAGCCGGTCAAATCCCGGGTCTTGGCTCATCCTCCGTCCTGGAGAGGGCACATGGAACCCTTGGGGGAGACTTGAGGCGTGGCGGGAACGTGGGGGAGCCACCGATGGACTCGGTTACAGATTTGAACTTATATTAGACGGATCAAGCGGTGCAGGGATCGTGCTTGCGGAGTCGAGTATTAGTTCTCATAGAGGGGGGAAGTTCTCAATCGAATTGGGATCGTCGCCAACAGATGGTTGTGTAAATAGATTGAGGAGTCGTGGCGGCGGGAGTGGTGGAGCGTCGCCGGCTAATAGTCCGAGAGGAGGGAGCCTACAGAAAGGGTTTGTGATGTCAGCGAGTGTGGAAGGTGAAGGGAAATGTAGTAAGCCTTGTGTGGAGGTTAGTGTGCAGCATGTTAGCTGTATGGAGGATGCAGCTGCTTACGTGGCGCTTTCTGCAGCTGTTGATCTTAGTATGGATGCTTGTAGGTTGTTTAATCAACGGATGAGGAAAGAGCTTTGTCACCATAGTGAGTCACTCGGCTGAGAATTTTCTATTTTTTTAAAAAAGTTATCTTCCAGTAAGGCACTACTAACAGAATAGGATGTACATAGTGAGTTTGTGTGTTTGGACTTTGTGTGGCTTCGTTTGTTTCTTCGTGGAATTAGGTTCTATGAGTGAGGTGAAGATTGGGTTTCTTTTGTCACCCTTTATTTGCCTTTGATTTGATTATGTAAGTGTATAAATTAGTAAAATCTAATTCAGAAAGTTTGCTTTATCTATCTATTGGATGTTAGAAGTTCATGGTAGACTCTGACGGTAAAGTTTGGTTACAAAAAAGTTGGTTACAAACAGTGTTGGTATTAGTGGTTGAGAAGATGAACGTGCAAAGGTTTGCTGCAACTGAATTTTGACTAACCAAACCACTCAACAAAATAAACTTTTTTGTATCTAATTTTTGTAGTCATGAGATATGAATGTTTTGTGTTGGAGCTTATTGGCTTGGTTTATGCATAGCATTGTGATTATAGCCTATATGTGACGCACGGTAAGTAACAACAATCGACTAGGAACACAATTGTATGGCTAGGTAACTGCAAGCCAAGTATGTATATGGTTTAACGGATGAGCTTGCCAGCTTGAGTTGGTTACTTGGCGGTTATGATGGCAGTTATCAGGTGACCGACGACCACTGAACCTTGAAAATGACTTTTTATCTTTTTTGGGAAAACATATGGACCAAAATTGTTAAGAGAAAGATGAGAGAGATAGCAAGCACATACTGTAAATGCAATTGAGTGAACATAAGAAGGCTAGAAAACAAGAGATGTCAGAAAGAACCAACCTTGCATTGATCCTTTATTGCCCAAACCAAGGGCCCAAACACCCTAATATATCGGAAGTGATAGCAACTTGTGAGATCCCACCCAACACAAATGGATGACACAATTTGTGTGTGTGTGCTTTCAAGAAATTTCCACCGACGTTTCCAATAAAATATAAAACAAACAATGAAACTAGAAATTGACCTCGTCCATACAAATTTGGAATTTGGGAAGGTGAAAGCCATCTTCTCTATACACTATCACTTTCATTACCTATTTATAATCTTTTTCAGACGATGGAACACATACTGATTGTGAATAATAGAGAGAACTAAGAAAAAGCCTAGGCGATGTTATTTCATGACCTGTAGTGTCCTTTTTGGCTGAGTTGAACTGTTTCACTTTCAACCGTTACTCACAGTTATGTGGAATCTAACTCTGTTATAATGTTGTCATCTGTGATCTATCACAGGCTCATGTTTCTGGTTCTAGTTGTAAACCTTTCGCCAATTAAAAAGCTAAACTAGTTGCTGCGTCGTTTTGGGCCTTTCTCTTAAAATAGGAATTGTATTATACTCTTACATGGGCCTTATAAACTAGCAAAATAAAATGGGCGAATAACTCAACTTAGGCCGAGTAATGGTGAACACTGAAAGCTAATGCAATTATGATGTTTGTGTGCAAATGCACATGTGAACATTAGTTTTTTGGAACACCGAACACTCGTTATATCATTAAGAAAATTCAAATGCATTGTTGTCTGATAGTGAAGGAATAAGAGTTTTCGTTAATTCCTTTTCTTTGTTGGTCAAAGTCGGCAACTATAAATGTTGAGACTTTAAGAAATTTATCCTTTGATTATTCTACACGATAATAATTTTTCATTTCATACAAGAACTCAATTTGGATTTGGTTTCGTTTGGAGAAGTCATCTTGTTTGGCCGTCATTACTTTAAAGTTTTATCAGTTGAATATGCATTTCTTTAGCCAAGTATAGAAGATGACTGTTGATCTTCATTAACTAAGTGCAAAATCTCATACAAAAATTCTACCATTACAAGCAAATTGTGTACATCAGATATATCATTACATTACATTACCTAAGGTTTCATAACCAGGACTAGAATCACATTCTCCGTCTAAACCTTCTAAGTTTCATAGTAACCCAAAAGAGTGAAAGAGACTTGGTCTTTCTTTCATCAACTTATTTATTTGGGGTCTTCACATCACCTCTTTACTAATCACAATGCCCATCAATCTACACGGTTCAGCATCCTCGATCATATGAACCACACTCCTCATCGTCGGCCTTCGTCCAGGTTGCTTTGCAGTGCAGAGGATTGCAACCCTCAGCATCTTGACTGCATCTTCTCTATACATTTCTCCTATGTTCTTGTCCACAACTTCCATAACACTCTCTTTGCTATTCAGATGGTTACTAACCCAATTCACTATGTCTTTGCTCTCTCCAAACTCTGCCTCTATCGGTTTCTTCCCCGTGACTAGTTCCATTAACACAACTCCAAAGCTATACACATCGCATTTCTCATTCACTTTCGACGTGTATCCATACTCTGCAACAAGAAAGGCTTTGATGTTAAAAAGTGTAATGTAACACCATAACAAGCTGATAAACAAGAAGTTAAATAAGTATATCTTTACCTGGAGCTATGTAACCGTATGTTCCCGCAACTACATGAGTTGAATCTAGACCACCATTGTTGGCTTGAAGAATCTTGGCAAGACCAAAATCCGCAATCCTAGGCTTAAATGACTCATCTAATAATATGTTACTTGACTTAACATCACGGTGAATCACCGGTCTCTCATATCCATGATGCAAATACTCCAACCCTTTCGCTGCACCAAGAGCAATATCATACCTCGTTTCCCAACCGAGATTCGACTTCTCACACGAGTGAAGTATGTCCCATAAGCTTCCCTTAGGCAAATACTCATACACCAGCAAGCTCGAGTCATCGCTAGTGATGCTACAATAGAGTTTCACAACGTTTAAGTGCCGTATCGAGCTTAGTGTTTGCACCTCTCTTTCAAACTCCTTCGATCTTCCTTCGTTTTCCTTGAGAATCGGCATCGTGCTGCTGAAATTCTTCTGAGTAAACGTGTCTGTGCTACTACGACGAATGTGTTTGACAGCTACCTCTTTGCCATCACCGATTACTACTCTGTACACATCGCCGCAACCTCCTCTACCGATCAAATTCTCTTCTTTGATCGAACCGATGATATCATCTTCGGTGAAACTCATCCTTCGGAACGACTTTATACTCCAAGATTCACGTCTCAGAGTTTTCTTTCCCTTCTTCTCGGTTTTCTTGAGGTACAAGAAAAGCACAAGAGACGCAATCAAGATCAGTAAACCGAAAACTATACACAGCACAAACACGTGAGTGTCACGATGCGATCTTGAAGGACTCATGCACCGGTTAAACGATTTGATCGTCATGCTGCAGAGTCCAGGATTGCCGTCGAAGCTACCTTTATACGACGACAAACTCAGCGGTACCCGACCTGATAATCCGTTGTTCGAAAGATCGAGAAGGCTAAGCTTTAGAGACGACAAGCTCTGCGGGATTCTCCCGGAGAGCTTGTTGTCCGAAAGATTCAAAGCGTTGAGCGTCGGAAGAGATCCCAGCGTGTGCGGGATCTCTCCCGACAGCGAGTTTTGAGCCATGTTCAGCTCACTGAGCATCGAACACGACCCGATAGACTCCGGTATCTCACCGGAGAAGCCATTTCTCTCCATCTTTAAACTGCTAAGCCCCTTAAGTTTCCCAATGGAGCTCGGAATCTTCCCCGAAAACAGGTTATCGTTAAGCTCAAGCTTAGTCAGAGCTTCAGTCTCTCCAATCTCCTCAGGTAACTCATCAGAGAACTTGTTGAACCCTAAATACAACGCTCCGAGCATTTTCGCCTTCTTTATATCATTACTGATCGTACCTTCGAAGTTGTTGTTAGCTAAGTCGATGATCTCAACTTTCGGTAATCCCCAAAGCTTAGTTGGAACTGTTCCGTTGAGTAAATTATCATTAACTCTGAAACGTTCAAGAGTTAAACAGTTACCGTACGACTCAGGTATGGAGCCAGAGAGATTGTTTTGCAGGAGGAGGAGAGCTCTCATCTTCCCTCTCTTGCACATATCAGGAGGAACCGGTCCGGTTAAATGATTCTCCGACGCATCGATGAAATCAAAATCAGATAGAGAACCGAGTTTTTGAGGGAGAGAACCGGTTAAGTTGTTTGTATACAGAGACAAATTAACCAGATCTTTAAATTCACCGAACTCCGGCGGAATCTCGCCGGAGAATCTGTTTTCGAAGAGCTGTAGAGAGTAGAGGTTGACCAGAGTTCTGAGCTCCGATAAATCGCCTTCTAGATAGTTAGTTGAAGCGTCCAAGAGAGTCAGATTCGTCAAGCTTCCGAAACCGGGAGGAAACTTCCCGGTCAAGCTGTTGTTGTAAACCTCTAACTGCCGGAGTTTAGTGAGTTTCACTATCTCCGGAGGGAACTCTCCCGTGAGTCCGCTATCTGAAATCTCTAAGTTTTGTAGCTCCGTCAAGTCTCCTATCGATGGAGGGATGTTGCCAGTGATGCTGCAGTTTGACAAGTAGAGGGAGGAGAGTTTATTCAAAATAACAACCTCTTCCGGAAACGGCGTCGTATTAAACGGATTATCTCCTAGGCTTAAAACGACGAGTCTTGTTGCGTTTTGTAGTGATTTCCAAGGGAAAACGCCGGAGAACGCGCTGTTGTTTAGATATAAATACTGTAACTGACTTAGAGAGGAGAAGTTAGGGAAGGATCCGGAGAAGAGGTTGTTGCCGAGATCCAAGTAGGTGAGGCTCGTGCAGTTATTCATGTCACTAGGGATGGTTCCGGAGAGTGAGTTGAATCCGAGAGAGAGCTTTTGAAGATTCTTGAGATCGCAGAGGGAAGAGAACGGGAAGCTTCCGGATAAGCCTTGATGAGAGAGGTTGATCTCTGTAACGGAGGCTGTGGAATCGCATGTTACTCCGGTGAAGTTACAGTGATTGGAGTTTAGATTCCATGAATCTTGAAAGCCGGGGTTTGAGGTTAGGAGGGATGATTTGATGTTGAGTAAAGCTTGGAGATCGTCGGATGTGGCGATGGAGAATAGAGACAAGATGAGTAAGGAGAGGAATCTTGAATTCCGAGACGCCGGAGACATGTTGGTTGAATTTAGTGGAAGTTTGTTTCTTTCACATTGGAGAAACAGAGTGTTTGATAATGGCGGGAGAGAAAAAAAAAGGTTAGCAAGTGAATGGGTTTTGCCACTTTGAAGCAAAGTTCTTATCTACTGGTAACCATTAAATATTCAAAATTTGGTTTACCTTGTTAATTTAAAATTCATTTGTTTTATTATTTCATTCTACATTTGTTTTTAACATTTAAAAACAGACAATGGTCATTTGTTTATATATGTTAAAAACAGACAATGGCGTCACTGTTGTTATATTAAAGAAATGCATTTACAAAACTCACACTATGTCCATAGGAACATGACTCTGTTTTACTTAATAGAGTATTGAGTTTTTTTGTTTTTGTTTTTGAACACAACAGAGTATCGAGTCTATTAGCCAATCTTGGTCACAAACACCTACGTTATATTATAGAAGTAAGAGTGCAATAGTAATGTAATTGTGTGTTTTCATATTGAACGTCAACTGAGCAAAACTTATGAAAAAACAAAGCAACTTCAAACAAAAATTACATTCAAGAATCTCTTTTACTAATTTGTCTAGTATAGACAACTTCGTCAATGGGCCACTGGGCCCCAATATTTTGGCTTGTCGATTGTTTTCGTTTTGATCAAGATCAACGAATTTTCTTCGAATCTTCATGTGTTTTCACATTTGACTCGTCAAAAAGCGTTCGAAGCTTCATGGCAAAAGAGAAGAGGTGGTACAAAAAGACAAACTTTAGAGGAAATAATTTCTTCGATAATTAAAGCTGAAGAAAAGACAAATCCTTTATAGAAAGATTTACTTTTATTTGTTGGACAAGTGCATGCACATGACGAGAAAGTGTACTTATCAACAAATACAGGTTGGACTTCACTTTGCTCTTCTTGTGACATAAAAGTCTTGAAATACCTTTTTTTTGTTAAAAGTAAAATCTTGAAATACTAAAGCTATTTGCTTTTTTTTTTCCATACGATAATGTAATCACTTTATTTCTTTTAGCTAAAGCTAGCAAGTTACTTAAAGAAAAACTCTCCATCCATGTAATCCGAAGGTGGCAAGAGGAGACGCAAATGATTAATAACGGATGCTTACAACAACCTCATTCTTATTTGAAGAAATGCAAAGGTAAATATGACAGGGTGGAGATTTATCTTTCTATTTTTGATTTTACAGTACTTAACCTAAATTTTTAAAGGTTTTCATTTTGCTTTCTCTAGCACCAAAAATCTATATAAATGGTTCTCAGGTAAAAAAGATTCGACAGCAGTTTAGATATTTAAGTCTTTTTCGTACTATAAAACTCATAATATGTAGTGCAGGTAGATACTCAAGCTCCAATTAATTAGTTAATTAATTAATGAACAGAAGATGCTAAATTTTGTTATTCGTCTAGAAGGGAGGAAGGTGTGAAAGCCGCCCTAGTTGACTTTGAATGAGAAGTCTTTCACTGGTGAGTCGGTAAAACACCACGTTTTTGAGGTCCCAGTATTGGCACGTGTAATAATTTTAATATATATATGTATTTTGTAGTTATGGCATTACAAAAACTATTGTCATGTTCCCTTTCCTCGACAAGTTTTAGTTATGAATGAATTAAGTTAGTGTTTGTTTCTAGATTAATTCTCTTGTATATATTTTTAATTTATTTTTATAAAAATAGAAAAATGATCAAAATTAGTTTTTATTAAAAGATAAATATATACGTATACTTTTGGATTAATTAATCTAGACTTAAGATTTAGAATTAAAAAATGAGCTTTTGAGTTTAGGATTGTAAATTTTTAAAAATAAAAATAAAAGTTTGGGTCGGGACATAGATTTATATTGTCGCTCGCTAAAAGTTTTAAAACTTTTTTGTAAGACAATTTGTATCATGCAATTGAAGCCCAATAACACTATGCTGAGCTTTACCGATGGGCTTAAATAACCAAAAATGGAATGCTAAACCACACACACGAACGCCTATTTTGTCTTCTTGAAAATTATTCATAGAACCAAATAACAGTTTTCATAATCAAAGAAAGAAACAAAAAAATATGAAGTAAAATTTAAAATGTTTTGATTTTTGAGAGGGTAAAAGGCGCGAGAGAAACGCGACGAGTGACGAGAACGTGGCTGCGTAGGGAACGAGTTAAACAGGATCCACATCCATTCGTCGCATAGCCAACATGGGACCATTTAAAAATCAACATATATATGATCAACAAACTGCTAGATATGAATGGACTACTGGTATAAATGTAGTCTATTCAAGAAATCCGAGGCATAAGTTTGAGAATAAGACCATGTGACTGACCGAAAATAGTAGTGTAATGAACTACGAAGAACATTGGTTTGGTCTAGACGGGTTAAAATGGATATGTGACTTAAGTTTGGAACCAAGATGAGTAAACAAATATAAGATGATTTGATTTAGAAATCGAATGGCGATTCATAAAGTTAATAATTAATATTTCATATGTGATATATAGTTTTCTGAGAGGGATAAAAATATAAAAGTTCAAGTAGCCTCGCAAAGAAAGTACATATTTAGATTTACATTAAGTGATCAAATCAAAATAAATTATATATGGATTAATGGATATATAAAAAATTAAGAAAATAACTAGATTCTATTGTTAATACATCGTGTGCATGTTTGTAATATTAAAGGTCCTACATAGTCATACGTACTATTTAGATGTTTTAGAAATTTCTAACTAAAAATTTTCGACAATTAAAGAAGGAACAGAAATGGTCGACATGTATTTTTTTTTTTTTTTTGAAAATGAGGTCGACATGTATTTCACGACAACTATCTTTAGTTACCTCTGATTCTCTGAACAACGACTGAATAGTAAATTTTCAAAGCTAAGCGAGTAACGACTAACATGTATGACTTTCAAGTTGATCAAGGCAATATATTAACGTTTTCTGTTGGAAATTTGCGATGTGTTTTGTCTCCCTTTTCTACGTGATTCAATCCATTTTTGGCTCTAAGATCCAACGTTGAAAAAGTTGAATGAAAAGTTATTGGTCACGAGACTCACGACGTACGCCAATTTCTCGGTAATCCATAATAAATAACTAACAAGTTATAAAAAGGCTTAGATAATGATTATGATAATGATTCTATATGATAAAAAGGCACAAATCAAATTATGATAATGATTCTATTGCGAGGCACAAAAATGGACTGATCTTCATAATATACTGAAATATTCGTGAACATATTTCGTAGGGTTCTTAAAATCCATATACTTTTATACAAACAAATCAACTGATTATTTCATCGTGATTAATTACAAGGTCTTTAATTCCCTAATGGTATAATTTTGTATTAATTTAAATGATTTTTACGTAAAGATAATATATCATTTAAAATATTGGTCGTTGTTACACGTATATTAGTAATACCAGTGAAGAATGAGTCAGATTTTGACTTGTACTTGCATGAGAGCTTACGTACAATTCGACTTCACATGTGTGATCTTGAATATTTAAAGTAGTATATAAGGAAATCTAATAACCCATCATTTACCAACCAGTATCACCATCATTTAACTATAACCTTGATCAAAGAAAACCCCTTGAGTTCTTATTTTGTCTGCCAAAAGTATATTCTCTTCGAAAGGTCTGATATATCAACTAAAATCTATTGTATATTTTAGCTTACAATGTTCTCGTTAACATTAACTAATTACGTTCTCGTTTATGTGTTGCATGCTCGTATATGTAGATATATAAATAAATTTTTATATATTAAAGTGAAATCATATTTTTTTTTTGTAACACAAAGTGGAATCATAATTAATTTGATTGTTTCTGAAAGAAAACATTTCATGTGTAGAAATGGATGCAAGATTCCTGTACCCCTTGGAGAGCTGTAAAATCATCCACTTGGTAAGTCACAAATCATTAATAAGGCTTATTAACTGTTAACATGTCAATTTAGTATTACATTTTGATACGTACTAAATTACTAATCATGTTTATTGTATCTTAAATTCAAGTTGCGACATGGACAAGCGGAGCACAATGTAGCAGCCGAGAAGGATAGGAGTGCATTGTTGTCTCCTCATCTTTTTGACGCTCCACTTACTGATCATGGTCACCAACAGGTAAACAACAAAAACTAAACATGAAACCTTAATGCATCGATCAAAATTGCAATAATAGTCCCCTTTAGACCTAATACTAAACATAGTCACCCATTATAATATTTCTAATCGTTTACTACTTCTTGAAAGGTTGAGAACCTCCGAGAAAGTGTTGTTTCAAGCGGGGTACTAAAGAGGGTTGAGCTAGTTGTAACCTCTCCCTTGTTGAGGTAATATATATTTGCATATAATTAAGTAGTCAAGACTTTAAAGTTGATTATATACTTGTGTTATAGTGATTTTATTGGACTGATTAAGCTTTCGGTGTATATATAGAACTATGCAGACAGCGGTTGGAGTTTTTGGAAATGAAGATAAACAAGAGAATATCACAAGCAGCCCTTCCATTGTGGCACTTGAGGTTGCTCGAGACCGTAATGTACGATTGATAAATAGAGAAAACTCTTGTATATTTGCATGTGAATTGACGAAGTATCCCAAATTTAAATGTAAATAATATATATATGGATATGTATTTGCATGCAGGGAGTCCGTCCTCCTGATATGAGAAGAAACGTGAGCGAGTATCAAACTCTTTTCCCCACCATTGATTTTTCTCAGGCAAATATATATACCTTCATTCACTTTTCCTTGATCACAAAATCTTACGTTTGGAAAACTATATCATATACAAAGCTTTATAAATATATATTAACGAGACATGTGAAAATAACATATACGAATATGTATATACATGGTGCTCATATTATAGATTGAAAGTGATGAGGACATTCTATGGAGGCCCGATGTTCGAGAATCCGAAGAAGAGATTTTGGAAAGAGGGTTAGAGTTCATGAAATGGTAACCTTTTAGAATCTTAACTTCGTGAAGTATAGATAACATTAGTATGTATATAGTAAGATAATTGATGAATTGTGTATAATTAGGTTATGGAAGAGACCAGAGAAAGAGGTCGCAGTTGTTAGCCATGGCATAGTTTTGCAGCATATGTTGTATGTGTTCGCAAACGATTGCGACGACTCAACTAGACATGAACTTTGCAAGAGGTTACAAAAAGATTTTTTTTTCTTTTTGCAGTTCAGACCAACTTGTTAATTCTTTGTATAGTTATATGTTTTGATCAATAATATGTTATATGTTTCTTACAGGTTTGCTAATTGCGAAATTCGTACTGTCGTGATTGTGGACAAAGGGTTAGTAATTTAGTATGATCATAATTAATTAATTTAGTTATCTGTTACTTTTTGAAAATTAATTATCTGTTAACTTGTCAATTGTGTTGATATTTTTTACTTTTTCAGCATGGGTTCTTCTACAGAAAAGTGATTCCACGGAGAAAGTTTCAAACCGTTTACCAAGTCTTTATTTAAATCAGACGAAGTTACTTAAAATTCATTTTATTGTTTTAATTCTTGAAGCTCACCATTGTTAAGTTGAGCTTGTTCTAATTACGTGACCCCCTCCCCCGCCCTCGCTTATCTTTTGTTCGTCTTCTGCATTATTTTAGGAGTTGTATTAAATAAATGAAATTAAAATCACATGATATAATAATAAATACAAAGACTTATACCTGGTTGAAAAGACATATAGTCTCCGCATTTTGTTTTGGAGTTTGTATCGTGTGTGTGATGTTGTCATGTAGAGTAGAAAACGGTTTACTTGAGTAGATTGCAAGTTGTAGTTAAGCAAAAAAAGGTAAATTAAATATTTCAACTAATGATGTGAGAAGAAATTAAACTGAAGATGGATTCTCAGATATAGCAATATATTTTTATAAAAGCTTACAATATATATATATATATATATATATGTCTCAAACATTGACACAAATTATTATTAGTGTCATTTTAGTAAAACGAAAATAATACCACATTAACAAAAATTCATTTCACAATTAATGGTTTAGATTTTATTGTATTTTACGACCTCACATGGCATTATGATAAAAAATTAATGTTGAAATATTAAAATATAATCTCTGTAAATTGAAAAATTAATAATTTCTAAAAAAACATTTTTTTTTCAGTTTCAACTTGTGTCGGTTCAAAATTTAACATCGATAAAAGAATAAGATAATATATTTTTAGAAAACTATACGTAAATATATGGTCCCACTATAATTATAAATTAATAATTTATATATATACATATTTTATGTTAGTAAGAACATATCATTATATTATTTATTTTATATTTCACAATGGAATTATTTTTATATTTTCTTAACACTTAATATTTTTGATGAGATTTACTAATATTATATCTAAAACCACATTTAAATTTCATACAATATATATTATATACAAAGAATAATATAATCAAATTAGTATAAGTGTCAAATTTAAAAAAAAATAATAATAATTAAAGTCTATACATTAAAATCAATTTTTTTTAGTTTAGAATAAAGATAACTTAAAATAAGAAATTTATATAAATATTTTTTTTGTAAATTAATATCTTTAATGTTTTAAAATTTTAAAATATTATTAATTTATAGAAGTTCTATTATATCTAGTTTCCACAACTATTAAACTATAATTAATATGAACCATTATTCAGTTTTTGAGAAACTACGCTTTTATTATTCCGAGTATAGGATTCTATATATGAGTGGTGAAAGCGCGAAGAAGGGGACTGAAGTTCTCTTTTTGTTTTTTTTGATTCTTACGCAAATGTGGGATCAATCTCTTCCTTCTCTTTTATATATGTATCAAGGCTTTATGTGGTTTTACTCAAGCAGTTTGTGAACTTCTCCGTCATGTTTCATTGTGATCTCCAGAAACAATGACGACATGTCTGCCAATAAATTGGTTTCTGATCCCTTTCGTGACGTTTAGTGTAAACAAAGTAGCCCCAGCAATAAATATAAGTTTGGCCCAGTCCACAGACCCACCCACCCAGTCAACACGGCAAGATAGAGACGGCGTGATACCTACGCTTTACTGTATGGGGAATTTTAATCTTGCAATATGCTTCCAGAGGTTACTGAGTGAGTGCCTTATATGAAAAGTTAATCGTGCAGAGTAGGATTGTATATAAATAGCTGAAGAGTATACATTCATTGTAGTTAACTTAGTTAAAAAAAAAACAAAAAAAACGTATTATAACAAACTTGTTCACTCTCATCCTCCTCCTCTTGGTCTAAAGTTCTGCATTATATACTAATAGATCATATGATCATCCAAGGAAGGAAAAAAACATGAACGATGATTTTAAGTTTGTAAATATTAGGTAAAGAGGTTCGTCAATAGAGAAGTGAGTACGTATAACCAGATGGATTCGTGTGGAGGTCAGCCGCTACGCCTCTCATTACCTAAGTTCAAAACCCTTTATTTGGTTAGTCTTGCCATTTTATTTATTTCAATCTCTATCTTATGGAAAATGTTAGCTATTCGTTACCTTTAGGGTTAGCTTGCTTTCAGATACAAAATTATTACATAACTTGGTCCGGAATTCATTCACCGATCATTGTAAAAGCAATCCAATGGTTTTAAGAGCGATCATAACTAAAATCTAAGATTGTGAGCGATTACATATATCGAATATGGAAGATTGAAACTTAGAACTATATATAACATCAAAATGGCCGGTGTTGATCATAGACAATTGAAACTGATTTATTTTCTCCCAAAAATTAATAAATAAGAGAAAATGACTAGAATAGACCTAAATTTTTTTATCATAAATATAAACCTAAACAATTAAAATGACCAAAATATGATTTAAATGTTTTATTAAATATACATTTATACCTTTGGGTTAACTAATCCTAGATTTTTTTTGTTTAGAGTTAAGGAGTGGGGTTTTGGGAATAGAGTTTCGAATTTTAAAAAAATTAAAAAAAAACTAAAATTTTCAAAATAAAAAGTGCTATTTTGGTCATTTTAATTTTTGAGGTCTATTTTTATAATAAAAACTTAAAAATGGCTATTTGAGAGAATTACCCAATAAATAATTAACATAAACATAGATCCTTAAATTTCTGTAAGAAAATATTAAAATATTTACTAAATTGTTCCACAATCCATGGCTAATCTTATACATCAATAGTTTTAATGGATTCCGAATTTTCACATATATCACTAAAGTTTTCTCATCGTTACAAACAAATGATTGGCTTGATTATGAGATAGTACTTAAAGAGTATATAAAATTGAGTGTTATATTGTAATGTGTTGGACGGGAAATGGTTAAAGGTGAGGCATGCACAAGGAATACACAACGTAGAATTAGAAAAGAAAGGAGAGATAGGTGATGCCCATCTCTCTCCAAAGCTTTTCGATGCCCCTCTCTCTCCAAAGGGTATCCAACAGGTGAGGACGAGACATATAATTAACTACTATTAGGGACTGCCACTCTTGTATACAAATTTGAAGCTCTCGATAAAATTTGGCAGGTTTCTGAACAGCGCAAACAAATACTTGAATCAGGACTACTAAACACTGTTGAGTTAGTGATCACCTCTCCCTTGCGCAGGTAACTCTACCTTCTTGTACAAGCCTCGCAGACTAAATTAAACTAGTTAAACGCATTTCGACAGTGGACCTATTTGCGGATATGATGCTTAACATAAAAAAATGCAAATAACTACATATTTTAAATATTTAAATCTAGTATAATTTTGTTCAGTTTATTACGAATACTGAATAACTATGCCTACCATATTTATATTTATTCTGTATAAAAAATAAATTGAAGAAATCTTCATTTTACTTTTTCAAAGAAAACAAGGAAATATTGCTTTGTTTTAAATTTTAAGACCAGCAAAACTCCCAACTAAACTGGTTAAATGGGATGGGTTAACCCATTTTAGCACCTTGATAGTAAGTTAGTAACACTGTTCATTCAATTCCAGGGCAATGGAAACTGCAGTCGGAATATTTAGGGGACACAAAGATATAAATCTATCCCACAATTTCCCTCCAATTCTAGCCCTTGAGATTTGTAGAGAACGCATGGTAATATTAACTATCAATTTATAATGATTGATTTTATATGCCAAAACTTTGGGGTGAAAGATTACTATGTTCTAGTAATGAATAACTATGCATTCTGATCCATTGCTCGATATCCTCAGGGACTATATCCGTGTGATCGTAGAGAAAGTATAAGTACCCGTCGCATTTGTTTCCCGGAGATTGACTTTACAATGGTATAATTAATCTTACACCAAATTCTCTAGAAGCTCAAAATGATCTAGGTTTTATTTTTCAGATTTTGGTAATTTATTTTAATTTTGGTCATAGGTGGAGAGTGATGAAGATGCTCTATGGAGAGAAGAGGAAAGGGAAAACCTAGAAGAGGTTTCTGCTAGAGGCCTTCGCTTTCTCAAATGGTAACCACCCTAATTTTATCTTCTCTGGACTTTCCTATTTGTCTTTTTACTAATCACAAACTAGTTCACAAAAAAAACACAAAAACTAAACTTAAATATTAGAAGTCTCATTAGATAATATCCATATTTTCATATTATATACTCCCTCCAGAATATATATCATTCTAGACTTATTTTTTTGTCACAAATTAAGTGTCGTTTTAGAGTTTCGAGGTAAAATTTATTAGTTTTATATAATATTCTATTTTTCTATTGGTTGAAAAGTGGTTAGGTGTATTGGTAATTGTGTTTTTATATTGGAAATATGTAAAATTAAATATTTCCTTAATCTGTGTGCAAAAACCTAGAATGACAACTAAAGTGAAACAGAGAGACTAATAATTATAGTGAATCTTTCTTCTTAGAATCAAACAGCTTGATGTATGATTCAATATCTAGACAATTCTGTGGAGTTAATTTTTACATTTTCATAAACATACATCAGAATAATGTTATCATATACATGATACAATCTCTGTGACTAATATCCAAACATGTAGGTTATGGGAGAGACCAGAGAAAGAAATTGCAGTTGTTAGCCATGGGATTTTCTTGCAACAAACACTTCGTGCCCTGCATGAAAAACTTAGCGTACCTCTTGAAGATAGTGTACTTACAAGGTCGATTATACGAAAACTAATTAATCAGCCTTTTTTTTTTGTTTTAACGTGTAATTAAAAACCATGGACCCAAGTCATCGTAAGCAGGATATTTTATAAGTATAGTAAACTGATTTCATTGATTTTTTTTTCTTCTTTTGTTTAGGTTTGCCAATTGTGAACTACGGTCAATCCGGATAGATAAGAGGTATCTAAAAATAGCTTTTTTGAAATGTAGGAGATTTGAAGCATAGTATTGTGTTCTAAATTATGTTCGCAATTATAAGTGCAGTGACATGGAAGCAGTGACAGTAACAACTTATAACTGTAGAGAAAACGTTGCTCCAACTTCAAGTTCCCTTCACACGCTTGAATAGAAGTCATTCGTGTGAATTGTGTTTTTATGTTTTCATGCCATGCACATAGCGCTTGGAACCAGGGAAGCAAGCCACATCCGAATCTGGTTACCTACAAACCTAGCTATGCCTGTGAAACTCTCTCTTTAGTTTTTCTTGATTAATGTTTTACTTCCTGAAAATCTCTCGTCTTAATTTCTTTTACTTATGTGTGATTGAGTATTTTAACAAAAAAAATGGCTCTGCTTAAGATTGTGGTTCCGTTATGTCATTCCAATTTGTGGTTGTAGTTGATTTTCTTATATGAATGCATGTAGGAAATATATTGAAAATTTATAGCTGTAACTAGACAATCTCTCATAAAGCTTTTGTCAAAAATAAAACAATCTCATAAAGCTTAATTGAGATTTTATTTAAAGCTTGACAGATAAATACCAACATCAAAAGGAAACACAAAAACTTACTGATCAAATGATTGCGTTTTGCATTTTTAGCAAAAATCATTGTAGATGTAAAGACAAGACGTTAGTCCATTTATTTAAAACCAAAAAAGAATTATGTTATACTATATAGTATATGAAAATACCATATTTTTCTTTTCAAAGATAAAAAAAAAAAATACCAGATTTCATTAATAAAAAAAAGTCCCAATAGAGCAAAACATACATAATGTGAATTGAGATTTATGTATATAAAAAAGAGACTTTTGACCCCAAAAAGGAGAGACTATTGCAAAACTGCGCGTGTACGACAATGAGAGTAGAGGAGCGTGGCACGATGACAATAAAATAATAGTGACGTGGTTATAAATTTGGATAGACGCCAAATTATAAAAATATTAATCTAAGAGTTTGGTTCAACCATATTCTTAAATTCATAATTTCATCAAATAATAAATTCTAACCTATCTCTCTATCAAAATCAGAGCAAACGATCATTATTGTTAAGTAGGTCTCTCCTCTGATCGTCTTCTCCCTTCTCATCTAATCTCTTTAATTCTCTTTCCGTCCTTTTGTTAATCAAACAATGACCACTGAGACCGGTGAAATCAGCATCGTATGCAACCACTGGTATGTTTCCCCCGACACAATTATAGAGATCCTTTAACTCGGTTTTGTTTTGCTTCTCTTTTGTTTGTTGATTGTTTATTGGTGATTGGCTTTTTACTATTCATTTGTTTTGTGAATTGGTCGGTGATTTTGCAAAGTTATTACATTTGTATGTCGGATTGTGGACAATTATGAGCTGCGTCATCCTGTTTGGTTCCTGTAATCACTAGAATCAGCTAGGTCTGTGTCGGTGATTAGTAGGTATATAGTTAGAGACTCCATAGATTGGTTGTGTCTTTATATTGCAAAAGAGTTGATTTTTATTTGGTCTTCTGTGTTTCAGAAAAAAAAAAAATTGGTCTTGTCCTTAAACTTGTTTCTTTGTGACAATTCCATTGTGAATTTTGGATTTTGAAATTCACTTAATTCAAAAGTCTGACCTGGTTGGTATTTACAGATCTATTGTTGATTATTTTTTTCACCTTTGCTAGGAATTTTTGACTATTTTAACTTGTTTTAGCGTAACTTTGATGGTTTGTATAGTTTCTGGAAGATTATGTATGCTTTGCTAGTCATTGTATCCTTGATTCTGCTGAGACTAGGATTGTTTGATGAATGCCGTAGTTCTGATTGGGATCATTAAGTTAATTTCTTTTGAATGTTCAATGGTAGCATCTATTTGGATGGTTGATCTCTCCTTGAGCTTAGTGTAACTTATTAAGCTTTAGAGTACTAACAATTTTAATGTTTTCAGTGACAGAGACATTCCAGCGCTAAACATCGATCTGCATCGTGTACATTGCGCCCGGAACCTAGAGAAATGTAAGATTTGTGGTGATATGGTTCCTAAAAAGCATGCTGAGGAACACTTCTTGAACACACATGCACCGGTACAATGTCTTTCTCTATGTCTTACCAGTCTTTAAATTGTATTCTGTTTTGATTGATTTCACACATCAATCATCTTTGATCTAAGGAACTTTTCTTGGTTGAACTGTTCTTACTAGTCTTTAAATGGTACTAGGTTTTAGATGCTGCTAGGTTTTTGAAATGACCTGCTTAATTTCTCTTATGACATTCCTCTTGAATTGCATTGAGAAGGTACCATGCTCGATGTGCAAAGAAACCATAGACCGTGAGGTTTTTGATAATCATAAAGGAGAATTTTGCCCCAAGAGGATTGTAACGTGTGAGTTCTGTGAGTTTCCTTTGCCTGCTGTTGATCTTGCTGAGCATCAGGTATTATTCACTTTTAACTCTCATAGATCTCTCTCCTTTTCTCTTAGATGAATGGCTTATCTGATTCTCTCCTGTTTCATGTAATCAGGAAGTATGTGGCAACCGCACGGAGCTTTGTTATCAATGCAACAGCTATGTTAGATTGCGAGAAACATATAGCCATCAAACCAAGTGCCCTGGTTCTGTTCTCAACAATGTTGAATCATCCAGGTACATTTTCTGATTCAAAGGGCTTAAATCTTTTGGTTGAACTCATGTCCTGACATGGATTATTATAATGTGTAGAAGGATCCCAAGAGCAGCAGAAGGAGATGGAAACGGCAGGAGGAGAAGAGATGGGAACGGTTTTTCTAACAAAAGGCTTTTTTTCACTATAGCAATAACGGGAATAGCTGTCTTGATAGGATCTTTCTTCTTCCAGAGGAAGCCTGAGGGGAGCTAAACAGAGACATGGCTTGTGTGTAGTTCTGTAAATTTCAAACTCAGGGTTTTTATACTTTTTAATCCTTACCGAGACAGAGATGTTCATCCGAAAAGATTGTTTAAGCTGAGCACCATGAGACTTTCTTTTGTATTTGGTTTCAATAAAAGGAGATTTCAGGTTTATTTTGGTTACAAATTAAGAGGACGTAGGATACGGCACTGTTTTGTGGGCCTCTTAAAGTTGGGTTTGGCTTGTTAAAAGATGGAAGAAATTAGTCAATGTTGTCTTAAAAGATAGGAAGAAATATTTACATTAATTTTATTAATTAGTAAATATATCTTTGCCATTTTTATTTAGCTCTTGTAAATCCAAAAGAAAATAAATCAAGGAGAAATCTAAAATACCAAAAAAAATTGATGTAATATTTAAAGTAGAAGACTAGTATTTAAATTTCAAGTTAAAATAATTACTTAAGATAGTAACAATGTATTGTAACAATATAAATCCTTTTGACCAATTATATTTTGTCATTCATTTATATTTTATTTTTGAGGAAATGTCTCTGTAAATTTTCATTTCTTCAAATGAAGACGATTAACTGGGTTTGAATCATTGATTTCCACAAATAAATGCTAAATTAGTTATTAATTGAGTTAGTTACAACCAATTTCTTTTTTTTTTTACAAATTTCTTTGTTGTTCTATTGAGAATTATCCCAGTGTTGTATATTTTAAATAGAATACGGTTTCCTTGTTGTATTGTCAATCATCCATACTCCAGATCAATTATTGAGTGGTTAGTGACATTATGGTTCATTTTGGTATATAAATGTCTAGGTGTTGGATCTTTATTGGCGATATTGATCATCCATTTGTTTCTTATCCGAAAAAGACATTTTCTGTTAAACGTGATATAATAAAATAAAAGTATAACCATGTGGTTACGCATTTGATCAACAGCCTGTTAAAAGTCTTTATATATATATATATATATATATATATATGTGATTTCTTCTATATGTATGTGTTTTTAATTTAATATGATATATCGATTGTATATGTATGTGCTTTCCTTTACTCCAATCAACCATCTGAGGCAGCCGCATAACAACTTTTGCTTCAAGCATTAGCATTCTTTATGTTCCTTCTCCTGTTAGTGTGCATTTCATACAGATATATGTACATCTTTACACTATACATTCTTTTTTTAATACGGGCATCTCATCGCATACGGTACGTACTCAAGGTGAACTCTTTAATTACGAGCTTAGTTTATGTAAGTCACCATAAAGTATTTGTATTAACATACGTCTTTCTTTTCTTTTTCTTTTTTTTTTGAGAAAGGTGGTATGTAATTAGTCCCTGCCCTTTGTATTAAAATACTTCTTTCATTGCATATTTTGAAGTATTGAATATTTATGGATAATCGAACCAGTTTCAGGCTAGATGTATGTTAGGTTAGGGATGTAGTTTCCTTTGAAACCTACTGATTAAAAAATGAGAAGGATTATTATGAGCATTACTCTTCTTTTTTTTTAAGAACCCGAGCATGTGAACACTGATCTACATATATTTACATATACAATAATAAATAACATCTTAACATTAAGTTTTTTTTTGGGTTGAGATGTTAAGATCTTAACATTAAGTTGAATCTTATATGAAAATTTCTAAATGGGGTTATAATATTCCGATCTTTTTAATGAATATATACATGTTTCTAAAAAGAAGTCTTGTTATATTTACCATTAAATTTTTTGTTACAATAAGAAAAAAAAAACAAGAAATTCTTTGTTTATGGCAGAAGAAAAGTTCACAAATACCTTTGTTGTACATTTTGTCTTGTCTTTGTCCTACTTCAAAGTTTTTGTATTGATAACAGATTCTTATTAGAAAACAGCCTATATAAATGATTTAAGTTGTCACAATATAAACAACGCTTCTTCATTTCTTCTAATTCTTACTTACCTCATCTCCACAACTTCACATGTCTGATTATCTTTGTGGACAGCATTACGATAAAGCTCCAAGACAAATCCGCTGATCTTTATCATGTTTCTGTTCTCTTCACATGTTTTCAATCTCGTGACTACCACAGGTACGCATCAGACAAGAAACATCACTGCACTTCTTTTGAGAAATATAATGCATTTTGTATATATACTCGACTTCTTTTTTTAACATGATAAGAACCTATCTTCTAACAAAACGTTACTATGTGTGTACGTGTTTGGTTGAAATAAGGTTACTGGAGACTGTTACTGAGACAAAGAGGATGGATGATTGCTTTGATCATGTTCTTGTCTTTGTTTGAGATTGCCATCTCCCAGAACCAAAGTTCTGATCCAGAATCAACACAAGTCTTGCAGTTACATTACCAAGATCAACATGTACGTCTTTTATCTTTATGTTTTTTTTTTACTAGTCATTATTAATTAATTAACTTTTAGTTGACTATTAAACTTGTTTTAGTAACCAATATTGATTAGCTCTTAATTTCTAGCTTCCTTGATATGCACGTCACGTTTAGGAAACCCTAATCTATATTATTAATTACAGGTAGTGATTGACAACGGAATCTTCCAATTAACTTTGTCAAATCCTGAGGGGTTTGTGACTGGAGTTCAGTACAATGGTATCGAAAATGTACTTGCCTATACCGGCCATGAAAATGATAGAGGGTAAGTCTATAGATATGCTTATGTATCTGACTCAGTGAATGCCTTAATAAATTAAATCTAATTGATGTGTTTACTGTAGTTACTGGGACTTAGTGTGGAACTTTCCAGGAAAGAAAACTAAAAAGACCAAAGGCACATTAGACCGGTAAATAACTCTCTCTTTGTAAACTGTAATTATATATATTTACTTGGATTAATCTGCAGGATTGAAGCAACAAAGATGGAAGTGATAACACAGAACGATGAACAGATAGAGATATCGTTTTCAAGGACATGGAATGCTTCTTCTAATGTGACTGTTCCAGTGAATATAGACAAGAGGTAGCTAAAACTAGTATACATCTTTCTTGAATCAATATTTATGTGAGATGAGTTATTTTTTTTCAGGTTTGTAGTGCTGAGAAACTCGTCAGGGTTCTACAGTTATGCCATCTTTGAGAGGTTACAAGGGTGGCCTGCTGTTGAAATTGATAATATTCGATTAGCAATTAAGCTTGACAAGGACAAGTAATGTTACTGTACTTATACTTCATCTTTGAATAAAACTGTCTACTATTCAGATTAGTTATTGATTTATATTTGTATAGGTTTAATTACATGGCGATTTCAGATGAGAGGCAAAGATACATGCCTCTACCAGATGATCGGATTCCACCTCGAGGTAAACCTCTTGCTTACCCCGAGGCAGTTCAACTTCTAGACCCTATTGAGCCTGAGTTTAAAGTAGAGGTAAAACTTTATTTATTTCTAGAAAACAGATGAGTAAAAGCAGAGGAAACAGAGGATTATTAATCTTGATTATGACCTTACAGGTGGATGACAAGTATGAATACTCAATGGAGAGTAAAGACATAAAAGTTCATGGATGGATAAGCACAAATGACTCTGTTGGGTTCTGGCAGATCACTCCAAGCAACGAGTTTCGATCTGCTGGTCCTCTCAAGCAGTTCCTTGGCTCCCATGTTGGTCCAACCAACCTCGCGGTGAGCATAGATTTCATCATTTGAGATTCATAAAAAATTGGATATAAGATGGTTAGTAACTAATGTTTGTGTGAAATGGAAAATACAGATATTTCACAGTACTCACTATGTTGGAGCTGAACTAATCATGAGTTTTGAAGAAGGTGAAGCATGGAAGAAAGTGTTTGGACCTGTCTTTATTTATCTCAACTCTTTTCCTAAAGAAGTTGATCCTCTCTTGCTCTGGCATCAAGCCAAGAACCAGGTCTGTCATATATATGCACATATGTAAGGTTAACATAGAGCTGAGTAGTTTATTTGGCTGTTTGTTTCAGACAAAGATTGAAGAAGAGAAGTGGCCTTATAACTTCACAACCTCAAGTGATTTTCCTTCATCTGACCAAAGAGGACATGTTAGCGGTAGATTACTAGTTAGAGACCGTTACATAAGGAGTGAGGATATACCAGCAAATGGGTCCTATGTAGGGTTAGCTGCACCAGGAGATGTTGGCTCATGGCAAAGAGAATACAAAGTACTTACTATAAACTATTAATATGTGATTCTTTCTTCTCCATCTTGTTAATTATTACTTAAAAACAATTTGATTACATTGGTAGGGTTATCAGTTCTGGTCAAAGGCTGACGAAGAAGGATACTTTTGTATAGACAATGTGAGAAGTGGTCGTTACAATCTCTATGCATTTGTTCCTGGATTCATCGGTGATTTCCACAACGACACAGTTATCAACATTTCTCCAGGTTTGAATACTTGTAACGATCCACAACACACTGTTCCATGTGTATTGTTGTGTACTAACAAAAAGTAAATATAATGGAATCAGGTTCGAATATATGCCTAGGAGAGTTGGTATATGAACCTCCAAGAGACGGTCCAACTCTATGGGAAATTGGGGTACCAGACCGAACCGCTGCAGAATTCTACATTCCTGACCCTAACCCAATGTTTGTGAACAAACTATACGTAAACAGTTCTGATAATAAATACAGACAATATGGATTATGGGAACGGTATTCAGAATTGTACCCCGATGAAGATATGGTCTACGACGTTGATGTTGATGATTACTCTAAAGATTGGTTCTACATGCAAGTCACAAGGTTAGTTTCTTTTCTAAACTCAAATTAAAAGCGGCACTATGGTCTATGAATATAAAATTTTGTTCAATGTATGCAACAATGGCTTTGTAGGAAGCTAGATGATGGAAGATATAACGGTACTACATGGGAGATCAAGTTTCAACTTGACGATCAAATCGAAAACCTTACGGGAAATTTCAAACTTCGAATCGCGATAGCCACATCAAATGTAGCTGAACTGCAGGTGTGATCAACATTGGAAGTTTAAATGGACTAACATTAATATATAAGAGACTTAGAACATGATTATTGGAAAGTTTTTAAAGGTGGGATTCTTAGCGGAATTAAGAAACCGTCTCTTAACTTTTAACTAAAAAAATTAAGAAAGTCGGTTCTTAACTTTTTTTAGTTAAAAGTTAAGAGACTGTTTCTTAATTCTTCTTAATTTTTTTTAGTTAAAAGTTAAGAGACGGTTTTTTAATTCC